TGAACGTGGTCTGGATCGATTCAGTTTCGGCAATATCGGTCAAGGGATTGTGGGAGAACAAGTTAAGCCGGGAGGCTCTCTTGGGAAATAGAACGCTGTCGTCGCTGGCCTTGCCGACTTTGGTGGTTGGGTCATCTTGCTCCCGAAGCATGCTGAAGCGAGCGGACAGGCCTGGCATGAGCAGGCTAGTCCGAAAATCATTTGTGTCAGGAAGCGCAGTAGTAAGATCAATCTCGGGTTTCGGTTCCACCACATTTTTCTGTTTTCGTTTTAAGCTGCGCGACATTTTCGTTGGCAGGGCCGGGTCCGAGGTTGCGGCGGGAGGAATGATATAGGTATCATCCTTGGCCTTGGCCTTCTTCTTGAAGACCGCCATATCGAACGTCTAGGAAACGGTGAAATGTAAAAGGAGTGTATAGAGTAAGTGAGCTAGACAAGCAGTCAGCCCGACACATCCACCAGGAGGAGTCCAACACTGAGCCTGTACCGACCAAAAGGAGTGACTTGTTCGTAAAAGGACGGGCTATGATTGTTCCATCTAGAAAGACATTGGATAAGGACACCAGGGTGAGCTGAAGGTATTGCGAGTGAACGCGCGGGAGGATCTTGGGATTGGCGATTGAGCCAGTCAACCGCCAAGTTGAAAGTCCCGTCGAGGGTGTGGGAAGTCGAATTCGGACAGTCGCGTGCGAAACTGGTCGACCACAGGCGTGGATGACTGTAAAGGTGTCTTGGATGTCGCTTGGTACCCTCCTCTTGGAGTATGCTTCTTCCACTTATGACAGGAATTGGGTGTCAGCCAGGGTAGGACGTATCTGAGACGGCGATGGCACAGAAGCTGTCCAGGACAATATGTGCAGTGCTGAGACTGGAAACGAACGTGGTTCGGTGGTCTTCGAAGGTGAAAAGAGTGGCAATGGTATGTCGAAAGAAATGAACGTGTTCAACAGTCCATTACTGTCGGAATAAGTCGAGGCGAAGAGCGCGTCGCCGTCCAAGAGTCAAAGTCAGCATGAACAAGACTTTGATAACCCAAGCCGACCAGGTCCAGGAACCAGGGTTGAGAGGGGAACGAATGTCGCAGGCTGGGCTGCAGTCAAAGGGAGTAGGAACCTTTTCCGACAGGAGCACCTGCAAGCCAACAACCAGCCCACGGTTTGACGGATGGTCTTGACGACCCAGGAGGCTGATACAGGTGGCAGGATGCGCGTGCTCGGATGGTTGATACAAGGAAGGGATTGCTGGACCAGCCGAGAAGAATGGCGAGCGTGGCTTCTGAAAAACAGCGGAAGCTGAATGAAAGGAACCCTAACCAGCAGTTGCAGTGAGCGCAAGGAAGGCTGAACAAGAGCCGCGTCGAGAAAATGGTGCCCTGTGTGCGTGTGATGCTCTCTCGCTCTTGGTAGTGGTGGAGCACATCCAGGTCCAGGATCGAACCAGGGTAAACGCGTGCACCGGATAAGAAGCAGGGTTGACACGCTGAACAAGGTTTTGACGGAGATTTCAGAGGGCTGAAGAAGTCTTTGAAGTCGGGCAAAGCCAGCGTCCCCCCTCGAGGATTTGCATATGAGACCGGGTACGGGTATACCTTGAGCTAGGTACCCACCGCTACGGTCGTTTTGAAGCAAGCGGAAGATAAAAAAGTGGACAGTTTGAAGCAGGCTAACCTGACAAGGCAACGAGGGTGAAGCTAATCAAACAATGCGTGTCAACAAAGAGTGTTGGCTCGAGATCTTGACAGACGCAAGACTTGGGCGGCGAGCAGAGAGAAAACAGTCGACATTAATATCGAAGCCTCAAAAGGGCTTCGGGGGGCGTCTGTGACACGAGGGTACCAGCGCTCGAGTCACGGAATACAGGAGAAGAGGGAGTGACGATCACTTGTGCCGGTTACACCGTTGGCAGAGCAATCAAGGAGCAGAAAACGACGATCTCAGGGCTGCCCGGCGAGCGTGGATGGAAGGATGTCGCAGGTAAAATTGTGGCTGGAAACCAGACCAGCGGATGCGGAAGCGGAAGGGAAGATGGGATAAGAAATGAGCACAGAACAGAGATTCGAAAGGGGAAACGGAGAGAGGCCTAGTCGCCGGGTCGAGTTGGCCAGAGGCCCAGAGCAGAGCGTTCAGTCTACCTAGCGCGTCACAGGTTGATGTGATGGCCGCCCGATTGGGCCGCCAGGAAGGAGACCAAGGCTCCAGTACCCAGTAGACGCAGGTACAATCGACCTCTGTCCCTCCTCTCCTTTCTATCTCGGGTCCTTGCATCGACAAACGGAAGCCTGGGAGGTCTTCGGCGGTTAGCCCCAGTGGCCCAGAGAAAGCAAGGAGGGCTACAGGTCGGTGGGCTGGATTTACTCGTGCACAGGATGGAGGATGAGATATCTCCTTCGGAAGGAAAGAGAGAAAAAGGAGGCTGCGGGAGGAAGAGCGAGCAACCTCATCTAGCCTCCCCGATTCCGTCGGTCGTGTGCCATCTCCTGAAATCCAGTATTCCCCAATACCTCTGCTGTCATCGCTGTGCTCCATCGTGATCGCATCATGACTTCAAGCTCGTTCTTCGGAACACACGGTAACATGGTTGGCCCGCCGGAACATGAAAGCAGCTTGTCGTTTTGGTGTTGTGCAGGTGTGAGCAGAGAGCATTTGGAGGATTTGTCGATGCCATTGGGTCACCTGAACAGAGCAACCTAGGTAGGGAACCCTTGTAAAACGGCACGTTGCTAGTGAGCACCGACATTGCCCCCAAAATAAGCCACATGGGGGGAGCTCTGGGGGGGCCCTCGGGAACAACCTTATGGCTGCTTCAAGGCTCAATAAGGCTTGTTTTGAGGCCCAATGAAAAGGGAATATATGGACCTTGCCCCTGACTGCGAAATTGTCAACCTCCACTGCTCATCACCCTGCTTTTTCCATTCACACCAATGGTGGTGTGGCTCCCAGGGTGCTTTTTTCACTTTTTAAATAAATCCAGTTGCCCCTTGGTTATATTTGTGGTATTCTCGGTCATTCCATAGTCTCAACACCGCTAATGGCATTGTCTGAAACACCATCATGTCCCCCCAGTGAGAATTTGTGCTCAAGAGGCTCCTTTTCTATTCTGTATCGGTAGTATATACCTTACCCTTGAAGCACCGAGTACTCTCTATGTCTTTCCCATATGTTTTGGAGGCTCCAGTTGTCATCTCCAAATCTCCTTTGACTTTGGGCCCTGCTTCCCATTAACAGGGTAAGATGTAAACAATCATTTCCCACAGACGCGTCTCGCATCTGGAATTGCTGCTTTCCAAGACTGGCCCGTCTCTCCACTGTCGTGCTTTTTGGTGTGTCTAGCGCGTTTAGATTTTTCTTCCAGACTCCCGCCTCCAGCTTCTGGTCTGACGCTGCCTAATCTGCCGGCAAATTGTTGCCAGACGTCATAACCATAATAGCCCCAGGCTCAACAATAGAAGCGTACAAGGCTCGCAGCAGTCTCTTCAACTTCTGTGCTACTCCCTGGCCTGCACCCGAGTAAATCTGTACTCAATTGAGAGATATCAAGGAGCCTTGATCAGCGATGACACGCAGCATCCGCTGCCGTCACATTCGGCTATTGGCCCACTTATGTGTGTTGGTAATTTCGTCTTCTGCCACATGGTTCAAGCGACCCGACGCCTGAGATAGCCGCCTTTTTCGTCCATCTTGCACCTCTTTCACCGATTCGTCCTTCTTCAAACAGCATCACTATCGTCCTTGTCGGGAAGAGTTGCCCTCTGCTGGTTGCGACATTCGACTTCGGAAGACCCCTCCGGGCTCCAGTCTGACAGAAGAAAGAGCCACAGGTATGGCTTCCCACAAGTACTCCTCCGTACACAAGCATGCAATTATGCAATTTCCGACGAGATGGTCTTCTCCACCCACTGATGGCCTCAACCTGTCGGTAATACTGCCCTTCAGACTTGGATATATCTTGATCTCGCCGTGTGGATAGACTTGGTCAGTTGGCATGTATACCCAATGAAGATTCAATCAATGGGAAATCAAGTTCAGAAAAATCGAAGCGTTTTCGGTCGCTCTTCTTGTTGATCCCTCCAACATATGTACTCGTCCTCCGGACGAGAACACATTGCGCCTTCTTCCAGCTTTGAGAGTTGTCGTATGCTCATTACTCAAGGCTTGGATTCTCAAGATAACAGCAACCCCGCCTGACACTGTGACATCCATGTCTGCATGACTGATCCTTGAATATCGAATCTGTGATTGGTACTGTAGTGAGTATCATGAGCCTGTCGGCAAAGTATCCTCACTAGTCTCGGGACGGAGATATTAGTGGTAGAGTTCTGAGAGAATGTCCTTGGGAAACTGTTGACACGAGTCTGTATCAGATTTACGAGTAGAAGTCCTCATGGCGCTCCCGCGGCCGTGAAAATTGTTGTCGCCATTTTGCTTGCTTGTTCCCCGAAGGGCCCGTTCGGAAGAACTGCTCTGCACATTTAGATCGTTTGAGCATTGTGAGATGAGGCTCCTCTGATCCTGCCATTGTTAGGGCACAAGTAGAAGGGAGAGAATTGTTCCTGCTCACTGTCCCTGGTGCGTGAGGACTTGTCTTTGTAACGCGATGAATAGTCCCGCGTCGTTCAAGACCTGCTTGGTTGAATCCCCAGGTGAATGACAAGTACGGAGCCTTTCCGTCCCTCTCGGTCCTCCGGTGATACAGATAATCCGATTCTGATGGTCTTGGCCAGCGAGTGCGGAGTTGATGCACCCCAACCTACGAAAGTCATCGCCAAAAAGCCAAAGGTCGCTGTTGTTGCCCCTCCGAGGCTTTCGTTTTGGAAAGACAACCGGCATCACCACTCTTGCCCACTGTCGTTCGTGCTACAGTGCAAGTTCCTCATTTTCTCCAGCAGTGGTCGTAGAGCCCTCCTTGCTCGTTCCCTAGCTCTCCTCCTCCTTGTTGCACTCAGTCAATCTCCATGGTCGCATCTTGGGGGTCGTCACCTGGACCGTTACTTCTCCGTCAAGATGGCTTCTAATTCCGCAACTAACAAACCACTCAGGAAGCCATACGCTCGCATTGTTCAGCCGGCGCTACCCTTGATTCCAGGCCTCAAGCCTCAGAAGGCAAAGCCGATCACAGTTGAGCGCGAACCCGAGAAGGCAGACCCTGGACCAGCAACCCAGTTACTTACCGACGGTGACAAGGTTCAGAAGGACACAGAGTCCGTAGCAAATGCGGCCTATTCCGACGTATCCCAGAATGGATTCACTGGAGAGAAAGAAGTGTCTCCATTGACAGGTCTGCAGAGCCCCCCAGACTTTACTCAGTCTCTACTGACTCGTTGCATCAGGCTCAGAACCTGTCACTCCTCAGCCCTCTCACTCTCCTGCGCAAAAACACACTGCAGAAGCACATGCTAATACTGGGGACGATGAGAAAGAGGTAGACACTTGCGATAATGATGGAGAAGCTGGAGGGGATGTCAGATCAGTGATTAAACCAGCGAATGTTGCGCTCAACGAACCTACCATCGAACTGCCAGCAACCGACTCGGACTATGGACATGAAACCATCACTAGACCAAATGTCAAGCTGCCCGAAATTTTCGGAGGCCCAGCTGGAGAAGATGCCAACCGTCAACCCGGTTCTGATGTTCCACCTCCAGCGCTTTCAGAAAAAACTGAGCCAACCACCAGGTCCAGCTACGCGAACGGGACTGGTTCGTCACAATCGACATTGGACGAGAATGGTACCTTTGCGCCGCAGCTAGAAGAGACCGCCCTTGGATATCAAAAAGCGCAACCATCTGTCTCTTTCAAAGACACTGTTCGTGACGCGACTGTCAATGGCTACCATCAGTTCCCGACCCCAACCTACGCCCCGCCTGTGACTGTGCCAAGATCATTCAATACTCTCCCTTCACTTCAGGAACACCTGCTTCTTCTCAACGCAACAAAAGAAGGAGTTGATATCGTCATCCAAGTCAATCCAACCAACGCACAGCCATTTGTCAGCTACTGCCACTCTGTCATTCTCTTCCGCAGCCTGCGCATGCGAAGATTGGCGACTCGTCAACAGCAGGTCAACACCAACTATCCCAGCAATGTCGTTAGCCTTTATCCCGCACGTCCTGTTATGGCCCACGCCTTTGAAGCTGCATTGCGCTTCCTCTACTCGGACACGGTCTTGGGAAAGGATTTTTTTGTCCAACCACATCCCGGAGCTGATTTTCAGGCTGTGAGATTGCACAATCTTGAGTATCTCCTGTCATACTGGGTGTCTGGCCTTGAGCTTGGTGTTGAACCTGTCTCGATATGTGCGGAGAGGCTTCTAGCCAGCTACCTTGACTGGGATATTCTGGAGATCGCCTACAAGTGTGCCATGGAGCTTGCTAACTCACCTATGTCATCCCACGGCAAGAACATGAATGGATCAGACTATCTCGTCGCCAGTAGCTCCATCGTCAAGCTCATCCTCCAGTTCCTGGCCACTCATATTGACATCAAGAATTTCAAACTTGACAGCACGTCCACGAGCAATGTTATCCCATCTCGCCTACCTCAACTGGACGATGGCCGCCCTAAACACAATCCGGCACTGGCTTCTATGGTATTTGGCTCCATGCCTTCATCAGCAGACATGTCGCCATCGTCTCCACAGTCAGAGATCCTACCCACCGCATCCACCTTCAAAGACACTGTGGCTTCCAACATTCTTTTGAATGTAGACTTTGAGAATCTTAATGTCTTCAACAACTTCATCCAAGCACCCACTATTCGAGACGCCGCTACCACAAAACTCATGGCCGATATTGTGAACGAACGCGAAGGCCGTCGTCAGAAGACGTTCACCTCCCGCGTTTCGAACAAGGAGCGCATGGCAAACTCCGCCGCTTGGGAAGCTGTTGGGTTGAAGGAGTCCATCATCGAGGGGAACGTTCTAAACCGGGAACGTGTGGGATTCCTGATTTCTTCCAAATGAGGGGGACAAAGTGAGAAGCAGATGGAAAATAATGAACAATTGCATGGAAATGGCTATGACAGCGTTACAGCAGGCGGGATTCTTTCATGTGTGTATGTGCGTCGTTCTTTTACAGCATAGCACAGGGGATCTTCAAAATGGTGGACCTTGGATGAGCATAATGGGCTGGTTAGAAAACATGTACGGTACCGCAATGTCTTTCGAAATGGAGCTTGAGCTGGGCGTGCTTTGGATGGGATCACGGAGAAGAAAAAAGGAAAAAGAAATGTGAGCTGTTGGTCAATGTTAATACGGTGTGATATCGAGTCCATTGTTCATTTTCCTTCATGCTGCTTACGAGCCTGGGTAAGTGCCACAGAGGGAAGATCTAGTCAGATCTCGCGACTGTTGGGATGGAACAATGAATGGCACTCGACGGCTTGTAATCATATGAAAAAGCAGACAGGCCCTCAAATACATAATTGTCACTTTGATGTGTACGGGTGAGTAGAATGGGTGAGGCGAGGACATCGATGTATGCTTGAGCATGCTGCCGGACGGTACACAGCTCTTCACTTCAGGCGAGCAAGGGGGGTAACCAGCACGAGAAGACTGAGCAATTGAGATCGGGATTGGCAATCATTATTCACAGCGACAGGACCGGCAGTGGGACGGACGGACAAGATCTCTTCCATCCAAGTTTAACATTTCAAATACTGCTTACTGAACGTCAGGGACGAGAGCCTGATCCGGACGGCATGCCGGAGACTATGTCCATGGCATCTTGGTCTGCATGCGTATCTTCATCATAGGGGACATTGGCGGAAGTTTGTCCTCCTCCCCTGCGTGATTCCATCCCATTTCCATTTCCATTTCCATTCCCGCTTCTACTTTTGGGGTTCCTTTGCGCATTCCGTGCTCGTGCATTGGAAGTGTAACGTTGCCGATCGCTTCGGTCGTGTTGCAGCAATGGCGTAAACGTATTCTTCTCCCTCAACCGATCGATCCAGGGCTTTACAATTGCCCAGGCCAACAGTCCGGCTGTGGCGAAGATGAATATCACGACGACGGTTTCGTCTTTGAGGGAGTCCCGCTCTTTAGAAAGTAAACTTGATTAGTGGGGAATGTATGGAAGTGTTGAATGGCGCAGACAAGACAACGTACGGAAACACGTCGTGAAGACATCTTCGTCCCGCGCATTCTTGCAGATCGGCAGGTTATAATCGAGGCAGAAGGCCCGCGTGCAATCTGCGCAGGTGAGTTGGTGGTGTGGTCGTGAGGGTGCTGCGGGCTCCTTTTCTTTCCCGGATTCGTGGTTGGAATCAGATTCCCCACCCGCTGCTAGTGGGCGCGGAGATCTAATGTCGAGATTATGGATTGCGGAGGCGCTCGTTGAAGAAGGAGGTGGGTTCAACGCAATGATTGTGCTATTGTTGAAGCAGATGCATTTGCAGAAGGATGTTGCTGTGGATTTCGCGCCGAGCGCCGGGCCAACCTGGACGAGGGAGAGGCTGACGATGGAAAAAAAGAGATTGAAGAGGTTCATGGTTGAGGGGTCTCAGGAAGTCGCAAGCATTGTTCGTCGTGGATACACGCGCAAGGCAATGTCGAGGTCGATTGAGGTGCGGTTTCGAGATTGCATCTCAGTTCCGATACGGTCGAACGTATCAATAGTGCGCAGCAAGAGAACGAGTCACGCAGCTATTCACGTGTATCAACATTGAGCCGAGGCATTTCGATTGAACAACCTCAGCCATGTCACTCATATCACTCTTTCCTCGATCGTCTTTGTGCTCCTGCTATCATTAGCGGTCAACTCTAGCATCACCCCGTTTCCCATCGCATCAGGCTCCGATAGGGGCCCAAAAGAGGGTACGATTGGTGCTGAAGGCTCTCGAAGCTCCATTCGCCAAGATTGGAATGTGGTGGTCGCGTCAGCCTTGAAGAACATCTCAGACTCTGAGGACCGACAAGATAACATCCTATGGCAGTTAATCAACTTCCCATACACCTTGCGGTGAATGAGCGAGAGTATGAGTTGCTACGCAGACTCGTGGTGAGACGGTCGTCAAGTGCACGGGGCATCAGAAAGGGCGAGTTGGACGAGGGCGGTTCAAATGCCGTTCCTTTCCAGGACGACCACAGAGCAGCTGCTTTTCGCTCTGCATCGCGAGTGTTTATTGTCACCTATGGCTCTCTCAAACTCCTCGGCGCGATTTTAGACCGGCTTGCCGCACGCAGATCGCCAACCGCGACTGGGTCGAGAAAACCAATGGTGGCGTCACACTCGAGGATGGCTCTGTCATTATCATCACTGCTGTTCTTTCACGCAACCCTCTATCGCATCTTTGCCAGATTAAGGCTTCAGCTCCTCCATGAGAAGGTGCGCGGGATCCGAGAGCGGTATCCACGGATCTACGCGACACTTACCTCCCAAATCGCCCCAGCCCTTGGAGCCAGTTTGTCGGGTTTTGCTCTGGGCATCTGTCCCGCGGACCAGCTCCGAATCACGATTGCAATCTATGTGGGCTGTCGAGCACTCGAAATCGGATACACGGCCATTGAGCACACAACGTTGATCAAGAACAAGCCGTCGTGGCTAGGGAGTTGGTTGTTGTTTGCTCTCGCACAGGGCCAATTGTTCCACGCGTTTGTGTTCGATCGCGATTGTTTTCCCGAGGCATACGGTTCATTCATTCTTGGATACACTCCGGAATATATTCAGCGTCGACCGGCGAACCTCTCACCAAAGGTTATATGGCCAACACCCAGTAACATCCTGGATGCTCTTGCACACATGGCACGATTGAGATGGCCCGGCTTTGTTTCGCCCATCCTGCATCCGAACGACCCAAAGACGCTGCCAGCAGGCATTGATCCCGTCATTTCACCCGTCACCTCACGAGCACACCCAGGCATCCAGCATTTGTCGTGTGCACTCATCCACCCTTCGGACCCGTCATGCTTCATGGCATACATTCGGCACATGCTGATTTCATTCCCGCCATTGGCAAAGTTCTTTGCCAAGTACTACGGAGCGCTGGCATTGCTGCGGCTAAGGAAGATGATCAAAGCACCACTGGCGTCGCTCAACGCGTTGTCCGAAGCTGTTTTGAGGTCCACAATAGCTGTGTCGGGGTCGATTGGGGCAGCTTGGGGGAGCATTTGTTTGTTCCAGGCCATCTTACCTCGCTCATTTCTGCCACAACTCCGATTCTTCCTCGGGGGATTTTTGGGCGGCATGTTCCAAGTTTTTGACCAAACGGGAGCCGGGCATGCCAATTCTTTATATGCGGCGCGAACCAGTGTTGATTCCCTATGGAAAGTGGGGGTCAAACGCCGATGGTGGAAGGGCATTCGAGGAGGCGATGTGTGCGTGTTTGTTGCCTCGTTGGCACTTGTCAATGTGATCTATGATTTGGGGAAAGAGACTGCAGCGGGGCAGGATCAAGCGATGATGTTGATCAAGGTGCTGAGGGGAGAGGCTGAGCTCGGGCTACGGAAGAAAAAGGACAAGGTCACGAGGATGGACGAAGGAGGTGATACAGTGATTTCCTCCTAAGAACAGAGTGACAAGGCTGGACGATGTACCGAGTACAAGCGCTCGTAGACAAGGCTATCAGGTACCTCTGCTTCTATACCGCATCGGGCAAAGTCTACTGGGTAGTCAATATTGTCATTCACCGGCGGCGTTTTCGGCGAGTTTTGTTGCTTTTAACGCGAGTTAGTTTCGGTAGTCGGAGTGGGCTCTTTGCGTCAGCCCCTCGACAACCACCTTGGGACCCCTCCACAAGCTGTGACACAGCAAGATACTGCCGGCAGTCGTGTCATGCTCAGCCCCGCCATCCAGTCGAGACTCATCTAGTGCCATTTTCGCTGGTTGTACAGGGACAGCAACCAGAAAGCATCAAAACAAGGCACGGGGATCTACCAAATGGAATGGGTTGGTCGGCGGCTCTGGGCCATCCATGACTGGTACAAGCACTTACCAGCATCAACAATCTCAACCCTCCCAACCCGACTCGCCGGCTACCCACTTGTATGGATCTGCATTGAGAGGCACCCACTTAAAAAACTTGCTCATGTCGAGAAGCCCTGGAAAGGACTCTATATCTCACCGAATGGGTGTCCAGCATTGGGAGCCCCCTTGGCACTTTGCACTTGGACGCCGTACCTGCTTAAGGATCCCTGCTGTTGATGGATTTCGAACGATGGCACCTGGATGGGCCGATCTGTCGATTGATTTCCCTATTACATTATAAGCATTACCACTTCCTAATAGTATCACCCGGACCTCGCATTTTTCTCAGACTGGCGGCGCGAGAGGCGCAGAAAATTGTCGATGTCCGGGCAAATCACGATACGGGATTCAGCTCCGGGTTGCCGCTATCTCAGCCGACCTTTGGCCGCCCCACCAATCAGACAGTGCCCTGCTCTTCACCGCCCGCACTTTTCCGGGCGGTGAGCAAATTGCCCCCAACAATCCAGCTAATTCGGGGCTTGGCGGTTTCTACCTAAAGAAGTATTACCTCGCCCTGTATCCATTTCTCCATCAGATGGTTGCTTGCACACAAACCGCAGCAACCGCCCGGTCTCGCCACTGCCCGAATGTTCACCAGGCATCAATGGCGTCTTGTGTACCGAGTAAGGTGATGTTGTCTCGTATGACTCGTTGGCAGCAAAATGGCATGCCGCATCTCGATTGTTGTCCCACATGAATGTTGAATGTTGAACCCCCTTCACGCCTTGGTCAAGCCTTCGGAAGAGACCTCCGCCCAAGAGTCGCTTGTCAACTATGGTGGCTGCCAGTCTGTCACGCCTCCGCCTCACCGTCTTTGCTTTTCTCTTTCCTTCCCTTCATTTTCCTTCTTGATTAACTTGATCATTTCCCCCAGCTCTTCCGGGTCCTCTTCCCTCTTCTCCCTCTGCTCCACCATCTACCGCTTCAACTGCTGTGTCGTGTCCCTACTGTCTTGCTTCGACGGCAGCGTCTTCGCAGATCCGCCTTGAGCCAACATTCTCCATTGACTGACCGGTGCTGTGACTCAAAGGTCGCAGACGGGAGCACAGGTCGTAAGACATTGGGCAAATTCAAGGATGATGCCACTTACACGGTCAAAGAATCAACCTCCCTTCGCCGATGCCTTCCCTACAGGTCAATTCCTAGTTCTAGGTGAGTTCACGGCCTCGCTTTTGACACCTGCCCGCCTAACCTGCCCTCCCCCCCTCCTGGTTCCGTGACTCTTTGGCTGACTATCCATGACAGCAATATGTCGTCTGGCCGAGCCCGTTGCCATCACCTCCATTTTCCCCTATGCCTGGCTTATGGTCAAGCAGTTCGGAATGGCTGACCCCTCCTTCTGGGCAGGCGTCCTCATTGCCTCCTTCTCCCTCACCGAAGCTCTCTGCTCTTTGCTATGGGGAGGACTCTCGGACCGCATAGGGAGAAGGCCGGTTTTACTCTTCGGCTGCTTTGGGACAATGATATCACTTTTGATTGTTGGCTTTTCCACAAACTTTACCATGGCTCTTGTGGGAAGAGTCCTTGGTGGTGCGCTCAATGGGAATGTTGGTATGTAAATCCACATCTTTGCCTTCAAGACGGTTGGGGGCTGACGCGCTGGCAGGCGTGATACAAACCGTGGTCGGGGAACTCACCACTAAGCCAGAGTGGGAGCCCAAGGCATATGCCATCATGCCGTTCGTATGGGCCATTGGTACCATTATTGGACCCGCAATCGGGGGTATTTTTGCAGACCCTGCCGCTTCTTTCCCAGAAGCCTTTTCTAAACAGGGGCTTTTTGGCCATTTTCCTTGGCTTCTCCCGAACCTCATCTGCGCTTCGCTCATGCTCATTAGCATCCTCAACGGCTATTTCTACCTGAAAGAGACCCATCCCGATCTCGGCGGGTCCAACGACTCCTCCCTCTACCAGAACATTGCTGAACAGACCCGCGTGATCACCGCCGCGGGCGCTACTGCTGACAACGCCGTTGATCTAAGGCAGGAATCATACGGGACATTCAACGAAATCGACGTCCAAAAAAAAGATCAATGGCAGCTCAACGCTGATGGAACCTCTCGCGAGCCCTCTATAAGCGAGAAGGCATCCCAAAAATGGCTTACCAAGAAGATCGTGATGCTGACCGTGGCTCTCTCGATCTACACGTACCATTCGATGTGCTATGATCATCTCCTTCCCATCTTCTACCAAGATAAGGCCGTCAACCCAATCTCCATCGCGGCTAGCCGCCTGGTGGACATCCCCGGCGGCCTCGGCCTGTCCACTAGGGACGTGGGAGTCATCATGTCGGTCAACGGCGTGATCGCTCTGTTCATTCAAGCTGTGATTTTCCCCTTCACCGCTGAGCTTCTTGGTGTTTGGCGCGTTTTTGTTCTTGTCACCATCTTACATCCAGTGGCGTTTTTCATCGTCCCATATCTGGCATTCCTTCCCTCAAACCTGCTCTACCCAGGCATTTACACCTGCCTGACGATCCGAAACTTGCTCTCCATTCTCGATTATCCGGTAATTTTGATTCTACTAAAACAGGCGAGTCCGTCTCCTGCCTGTCTGGGACGCATCAACGGCCTGGCTGCTTCGGCTGGTGCCGCTTGCAGGACCGTGGCACCGCCTATTGCGGGCTTATTGTATGAATGGGGCTCGAATATCGGGTTTACTGGTCTGGCGTGGTGGTGTGCTGGTTTTGTTGCTTTCATTGGCGTTTTCCAGTTGTGGTTCGTTCCCAGGGAGAGGAACGAGTCGACTGTGGTCAAGTCCATTGTTCCTTGTATGGAGAACTCGACCGGGGAACGCGTCTCGGACGTGGTTAACGTTACTGTGGTGGGCGACGAAGAATATGCCTAACTTTAGATTTTTTGTGTTAGAAAGATACCACTGAGTTTGAGACTGGCTGAGGGTGTTGGACAGGCGGGTTCAACACGAGGTTCTTCTGGTCGGGAATCACGAGACAGGGGAGTTACAGGTTTTGGCAGAACCCTGACGATGGCGTTTGCGGACGAAGCCGGCCTGAACAACTCACCTGGAGCCATGGCTTGTGAGGTACATGGGAATATGACGGATGCGGCGCGGAATACAGGACAGCCATAGAAGGATAAACCAATTAGGCGCATGGAAGAGAGATATTCGCTACAATTGTAACAGTCCAAACTGTCAGAGCCTCGTTGGCGCCCATGTCGACTGTCCACATTCACTTTCCGTCTGACAGGTTGAGTTCCCCGCGACAATGCTTCAAAGTTGTTTAGGTGCATCTTGTCAGACGCCGCCAATTTTCTTGTTGCTCCTCGCTCGTTGTTGCCAAATTTAGCGTCTTGGATGCGCCGGGGTTCTACCCAAATTTCAAGTTTCGAGTTTCGAGCTTCGAGTTTCGGTTCCCGCTCCACCAAACATCAACAAGAACCAAGCGTCTTGTTGGCAAGCCGCTCGCCCGACGACCTGTCGATCCGCTGACCAAGCGACGCGCAGTCCGCTGTCAATCAAGTCCCTCGCTGGTATTCATTCTGCAACAAATGCGTCTCCCTGCAGCTAACAGGGGTACCGTATCTTGCCACCTGCGCCGTCACTGGCTACCCATGCGAGCTGCTTTCTTGATATCGCATCGCCAGACTCCTTGATAGAAGAGACGTCTTTTCGGGCAAGTATCGACTGTGATGGCTTTTTGTCAATCTTGTTTCCAATGTTTTTTTTTTTTTTTGCCTGTGTTTCGTTGTTTTTTTATTTTGGATGCATTCCTTTTGCCCGTTATTTGATCCGAGACCATCGCTTTCTTTGCCTCTTTCAGCATCGCAGCTCTCGATTTTAGAGAACCCCCTTGCCATTTTTGTCGGCGTGAACCCGATATTGTATTCAAACAAGCATGTTCAATAGAAGGAGGACAGAGGGCGACCAGACTGCTCGTCCATCACTCTCGACTATCCATTCCGAGGAGAGCCAAGAACGGAATGATACAGTACCAACGAGGTCAGCGGAGGCGATTCATGCCACAACGCGACCTTCAAACTCCCTCGGACGTAAGGATCAAAGCAAACGTACAGCCTCAGGCCGATCCGAAACACTGTCGTCCAGACCTACCCTCACCCGAGTACCTTCCATCCAAACACGATACATGGAGATGCTGTTACACTTAGACCGAATCCCTCGGCTATACAATATCATGGCCAGCCTCTTCACTTGGATTATTCTTGCCGGCTTTCTGGTCGTCCCTGGCACCTTCACCACGTTCAAAGAGTCCAAGGCGTTTCAGGATGCTGACAGCGACAGCGACAACGAGGTCACACATGCAATTGTCCATTCGATTGCCAATATCGGCCTGCTGTGGCTTGCTGGAGCGTTTTGTGTCGTCGGCACTTTGGGGTGTCTCTGGCTGTGGTTTCGCTGGCGCAAAAACTATGTCTGGCTGATAAACCGCATCTTCTTGTGAGATCCTCACTCTCGGTCAAAGGAACACCGACTGACAGGTTGATGATAGACCAGTCACGATGAACTCTGTCGCCGGTTTGATCACCACCCTCGTTAACGTCTACACGGCCCAGCACGGTGTGTGGAGTGTGACGGCAAAGATCACCGCCATTGTGACAGGGTCTTGCGTTGGCGTTGCGGGTCTCCTTTTCGGCTGCTACAATTTCTGGATATTGCGCAGGGTTCAGAAGGTGCATGAGAGAGAAATGGGCCTCGACGCTCAACACGAGGACGAGACGCTGGTGGAAAAGGTGAAAAGAAAGGCTCATGAGCCTCCGTTGAAGCCGGGCAGCGTGGTTTGATGTCAGATTATCTCTTGGATCCGAATGCCCATCTTAGCGGAGTCCGATGCCCTCAAAGCCAACGCTCCCCTTGGTGGCACCTTACCACTACTCGTTCTATCGCAACTGACCCCAAATGTGCCAGTCTTCCTCGTTCTTGCCTTCGCACTGGCAACGGCGAAGAAGCCCAATCTCTTATTTCTTTCACTCAACACTCTTCTTAGTAGCCTTCGCTCCCTAACCACCTCTTTGCCCTCTCTCACGCATCCCTAGCATCTATTGTTCAGCATATCACACTACACACATTGAACCTATGACTAGAATGGCAACTTCTGCAACAAGGTCTACAGTCCGCAGAGCTCCATGTCGAGACCGTCGAGCCAGACGTCGGCCTCGACGGCGTGAGTCGCAAATGCCACCGCTAGGGGCACACAATCAGCGTGGCCCGAAAAGAAGAAAGCTGCGCGACCTCGACTCGTTGAACCTTGACAACTGCTACTATGCTTGTGAGGATCGAGGATACCATCTCGATCCCGACGTTCGCGTCGGTCTTGAAGTCTCCCAAGACGGTACGATTGATTCTTCTGTAGTGTTAACGCCTAGCTAACTCTGCACATCAGCAGATGGTTATTGGCTTCCAGAAGACGAAATTACCGATTCAACGGCAATTGAAGAAGAGCTATTTCCGTGGCTCGAATACTACTCTGCTGGAATGATCGAAAGTCCTGAGCTCCCAACATTACCGGCAACGTGGAAAAGAAGCGTATTCTTCAGGAGAAAGGAAACTCGACGCCCTCCTCAAACCGATTTACTCACAGGTTCCGTCTCCTCTCTGCTGCCTTCCACCCCGGCTACCGCGAATGCGACACCCGTGGTCAAGATGCCGGGCTGTCATTTGGAGTCTTCAATGAACGGATGCCCCCTAGAATACTGCTCAGACTACTTGAATGATGTTCGGATTCCGAGTCCTTTGCTGTACCACAACTCACAGCTCCAGTACGTTCCTCCGTCCGATGATGCTCGGTCAAACTGGAACAACCCGTGCTTCGAATTTGCCTACGGTCAACAAAAGCCAGAACCCGACTTCACGAGTTACCGGCCCACCGCGGGCGGTTCTATTCAGGCTGAACTTGCAGATCTCCCACGTCGTGAAAGCCTAGGCTTTGCTCTTTGCACGGCGGCATCATCCAGACACAAACCAGAAGCAAGTCACATCTCAGATGGGAGTCATGATTCATCAACCTATGGGGATCCTCCTTCTTCCCTGGTGGATTGCCCCGACTCTCGAAGACCAACAGGGAATATCCAATATCACCCAAGTACGGGCGACGTCCACAATGCCCAGTCATTCACCTCCGTTGGCCTTGAACCCTTCTGGTATAATGATTATCCAAAGCGACAGAGCTCGCGACGGAAAGAAGCAAATGTGCCTCGTGATGTCGGCCCCATCGTAGACAATTTGATCTTTCCTACTCTGCCGACTCCGCCCTGCCATGAAGATAAGTTCGCAGTCGATGGCAGCATCAACAGAAACACTGTTCAACCCGAGGCAAATCAAGCTACCAGCGATTGGGAGCAAGCGCGGGAATCTTCACCGTCATCGTCCGAGCTGATTGACAAACCTCCGCCGCGGTCTATTCCAGACGCAGAAGTGGCAGCACTTTGTGCAGTCCGCAGGAGGCGTGAGGCGCAGGCAACTCGACTGTCTCCAAGTCGCAAAGAAGATAGATCCACCTCCGGCGATGCCCCGCTTGGTGCAACAGCCAAGGTCGCATTTTTGCCGTGCACGGATTTGGTACCAGCACGATTGTATCAGCATCAATTCGTCGCATGGCCCCCGTCAATCTCCGCCGCCAATATCACTGAGGAACCCGATAACATTTCTGCCGTCCTCAAAGCGATAGACTGGCTGGAAGAATTGGATATGCTGAAACCGTATGCTGGTGGTAGGCTGGGTCTATCTGCTCTCTCCCTGCGACCCGATGAACGTGAGTCCGACTCGCGCACCGATATTTCCACCCCGGAAGCTACCTCGAGGCCAGTCTCTCCCGTCCCAATAGAGAGCCACGGCGCGCTGTGGGTTGAAGAAGCAGACTCGGGAAGACACGATGAAGGATTCTCCACTGACAATGAACGTTATTCAGAGGTCGGCTTATTGGACGAAACCCTCAGCGAGGAGGACTGGGCCAATTGGGATTGGGATTTTGAGGAGGATGTGGACGAAAGGATCGGGCTCTTTGCCACTGAGTGGGAGGCAGCCAGTGAGGAACGCCTTCTATGAATGTGTGGGATTCAGATGACGAATGCTGGTGCTCAGAGAGATTGACTTGTATTATTTGTACCAAGAATGGGAATGCTCCGAGGACAAGATGACGGTTAGACTGTATATTTCGTGCTGGCGGCGGCCGTTGAATTCACACTTATAAGCAGCATACAATCAATATTGCTTGGAAGAGTGGAACTTTCCTGCTTGCTTACTCCTCCATATCTGTTCCTTAGTTCCGTGTCCTTGTTCCTAGCGTGCATCACTTCGTTCGCGCTCCAAAGCTTTCTCCACCTCCCGTGGCAAATCGTACGCGAGCAACTCCTCATTGTAGCTATCGCGGAACCACGTCATGAGGTAGATGACGAGGTACATGGCCCACTCGGCGAGGACGCCCATGTCGCCTTTCATGCGGGACATTTTCTGCGAGCGCGTGTAGATGGCGTGGACGCGGGGCTTGCGCAGGGTTTCGAAGGCGTCGAGGGCGCGCTGGAGCGACGCGTGGACGTGAGTGTCGGCGTCTTGGTCTTTGTTTTCGCGCTTGCATATGTCTGCGCCTGCGTCTGCGTCTGGCCCGGCGGGAGCAGGGGGGCCAGCGCTACTATGTTCCACAGTCCCAGCACCGGCATCAGCTACAACCGCCGGCGCCGACGAGGACGAGGACGAGGACGACGATGATGCCGACGCCGACAAGTAATGTCTTAGAAACAGGGCCAGGGCCTCTGCGTCCTCGAGCGCCTGGCACGCGCCCTGCCCGCTCGACGGCTGCAGCGCGTGCGCGGCGTCGCCGACCAGCACGGCGCGGCCGCGCGATGACCATGAGGGCAGCTCCGGGGTCGTCCAGGTCGGGTAAGCTGCGTCGAGACCTTTTCCTTTTCCTTTTCCGTTGAATACGAGGTTGCCATTGTCGTCGTCGTCGGCGGTGACGACTGCGGGGCTGTGTTTCTTCTTCTGTTGTTGCTGCTGCTGTTTTGCGGCGGTGGCGGTGTCCTGTTCTACAAAGGACAAGATCGCCTGGATCGTCGGGTTGTGCCATTTCGCGTGGCGGCCGAGCAGGGCGGCCAGGGCGAGCGGTTTGTTGAACTCTGTGGGTTTGCGGGTTGCCTTCGTGCTCGTGACTGTGCTCATGTTTGTGGCTGAGGTTGTGTTTAAGACCCCTCCTGCTGCCGGAGATGGAGATGGAGATGAGGAGGCCGAAGTTGAGTACGGAAACGGTGTCGGGCTGGAGAACGTCGACCACCATCCTGCCAGGGGTCCCGGTGCGGAGGGCGGCGGAGGCAGGTTTATTAATGGAGTGGTCTCGTTCTTTCTTGTAGCTGTGTCATTGTTGGACAATGAGGTCGGCGATGTGGATGATGTCAAATATCCGTACCCGAAGAATCCATTCGGTCCGAACACGACGGCCATGGTGCCTGGCTTGTGGCCTGTAGCTTCTAGCACGGACGAAGGCACAAAGCCGCCGACGCCGACGAGGCCTTCGTAGTGTGGCGATATGTAATCCCTCTGGGCGGCTTTTGCGTCTGCGGAGCGTCCGGACTTGAAGAACGGGATACGGAAGTATGAGACGACGGTTCGCAGCCAGCTCGAGGTTCCTTCTCTTGTCTGGCTGCTAGTAGACCGCCCTTCGCGATTCTGTGCACCCGCATTCGTCTCGCCCCCGCCCTCGCCCGTGCGAAACATCGCCCGCCTCAAAACACTTCTCAGTCCATCCGCTCCAATGACCAGGTCGGCTTCTTCTTGGGAGCCATCTTCGAACTTGACGACATTGCGCGTCCTTTCATCGCCGATAACCACGTCGACGACTTTTTTGTGGACGACCACGTCGGGAGAGTCTCTCAGGACATGATCGCGGAGGATCTCCCAGCACGATTGGCGCGCGATCATGATGGCATGGTATCGACACAGATCTTGAGCCGCGGTTATTGGACCTTCTGACTGTCCATGTTTGTGTGGGGCTGGCCTTTGAGTAACTCGTGCGAGATCGACCTCGACAAGTGTGAAGCCTCTTGCTGTGCTGATTTCCCATCGCTCAATGGGATGGCCGTGAATGACCATTTGCTCGACCAAGCTCGACCGCGCACTCCGGACGTCCCCCTGATAATCCACGGGTTCGCCCAGGCGAGCCAGGACATTCAATCCATTGCGCGAAATACCAATGGCGGACCCAATTGCTTGAGGGGTGAAGATTGGTTCGGTCTCAGCGGGGAGCGGGTCCGTCGTTGATCCGTCCACGCTGTCACCGGTGGTGGGATTCGTCCGCGAGCCACTGAAACTGGATGGGTGGATGTCGTAGGCTTCGTAGATTTTGATCTCATACCGTTCTTCTTGGGATGAGAGAGTTGGGTTGGAGAGGAGTAGATGTTTACGCAGGAAAAGATAGGTGCTGAGCCCTGAGATGCCAGCACCGATGATGATGATCTTGGCCATGGCTAGATGGAGGTTGCCACCGAAGACACAGGGGATGAGAGATACCTACCTGCATGTCAACCACCGAGGTTTGCTGAAGTCATGGATACATTATATAGATATTCTGCCCTGCGGAGGTCTTTCAATCTAGGGGGGAATTCGAAAATGCCGGTGCCTGTGTCTTGTGAAGGTAAAACGTAACGCCAGGCGCTACATGGTGCAGCGCACAGCACCCACCTCAAAGTTTGGCTCTCGAGAAATAATAGCAATTGATAGGCAGATACCTTGGAACGAGGAGACAAGGTGAGATCGTTGATGCCTGGTTTGGATGAGTGTGATTGGTGAAGGACGAAGCCACGGCGAATACGTCGGATTCAGGGATATTCAACTAGCCTTATTAGGACTAGAAGAGTTGTTACTGAGCTAGGACGAATATGGAAGGACAACAAGACTTGGCAGTATCCTGACTAGCTAGTCGACGATACAACAATTTCCAATACCACCTCCGTTCTAACTTGTCTAACTTAAGCTACATGCCTCTCAAAGTCAAGATTCGCCTAGAATTCATTCACCAACACCGAAATAGTCTAGAGCTCAGCGATGTAGATCGCCCCACCGTCCGAAACGTTTCCCAGCGAGTGTGCGCCGCAAAACGCAGAGCGAGGATTGAATCCAGGAGTTAATCCTTTGCAGATCCCTGACTTTCTCACAGGACCGAGAACAGGGAGAGCAGGTAGATCCGCAACCGTCGATACCTTTGCGTCAAACGCAAAAGGGGGTTCTCACCAACGTCCCCTACCCAAGAACGCTATCCTTCTCGCCGCGTGGACGCAGACTTCACCATGGACTCTCTATCTTTACTCACCCTGGCCTTTCCGCAAACCTGCTTCGCCACATTGCCGACTATGATCTGAACCCAAATCCGCGGTGATGGATTAAGATCTGTCGACTGTCTCAAGAACACTTCCTCCATCCTGTGGCCCAACTATTTGGATATAGCTAATGCTTGGATGACACTATTGAACGTGCGATCGCGCGGGTCCTACAATGTCTCTTACAAGACACAGATACACAAACAAGTCGTGTTCGGACCGCGCAACTGTATGATCGAGCAGTGAGGAGCCTGTCTGCGGTCTCGGCTTTTTGACCCATTATCTGGACTGCATGCTATGCCACGGCACTGATGGCATAATTTAAGCTGTGATAGACTTGCTTTCATTCTCTTCGATCTCACTTCTACTGATATTTGCTGTTCACGTCCCATCTCCTCGATTATTCCTGTGGGCTTAAGTGGGTAATGAATTCCCGGGGTGCTTTTGATGTCCTAGAGACACTCGGTCCCAGTAATATTTCCACTGACATGTTCTCATAATCCAGGCAGAAATTATGGTTCTAACGAAACTGGGAAAGGTATTGGCCTTGGAAACAGATTTTAGGGTCCACCTACGCCAACGTCGATATTTTCCACTACAAGCCTGAGGGGCAGCGTGCTCTTCAATCTACTATCGTTCTTGATACCCAGTTGGCAGATAGGTCCGAACCTGTCATGACCTTATGGATGATCTTATGTCGCGCACCCGCATTATTTAACAACGACACCTGTGTCATCATGGATCGACGACCTGAATAGAAGCGCCAACTCGTCTCCGGCTTCATGCATTTTTATATAATTTATCAAGGTGAAATGTGCGGTGGCAGGGTGAGATTAATGTCACCGAGTCCTCTTCAGACAGGGCCTTGCTGTCAAAACAATCCCAGATTCTAACGAGATTCTTGACACATTTCGCGCTGGTGAATCGCTTTCTCTTCGTACTGTATCCAAACCAGGTTTCAAAGATGGAGGAAACAACCCGGATCGCGGCGTATCGTGGTTCAACTCGTGGCCTCGGAGCAAGACATCAATTCAATTCCCAAAACACGTACAAAACATGCGGTTCAAACCGCGAAATCTGTTCTGAATACGATGGCCTGCCGCCGCCACATCGGAGACTAAGGTTATTCAGCCTGAAATATTTTCTGCCTGGTGTTCATTGCTTGGCTGGGCAATCGAGCTAATGTCATGTATCGACTTGGCTTCTTAGATGAACGACACCTAGCATGACTTAGCCACATGGAAATGGACTAAGAATGCTCAACGTTGCCTGTTGCTCAGACGAATCGATCCTTCGATTTGTCTCCGATAGCTGCCTTGGTCCAAGCATTAGGATGCTGGTGGCATTCCATCATCCTGACGAACACCATCGAGGGCAGGGATCCACGTGGCACGTTTCGGAACAAGGAATTCATTTTCACATTGGTGGTTGTTGATGGCATCGATGTCGTCCACAATTCCTGCCTGAATCACTCTCATCCCGTCAATCCCTCCAAAAGCGTCACCGTATCGCCACATTGTGGTACCCATCACCCGATTCGACCAGAACTTCGACATTCCCAGTATTTTCGTTTGTGCAGCAGCGAATAATGAAGTGAAAAGAGTTGACCGGCACTCACCACGGTCAGGGTAAAAGCAATTGGTGAGTGTCCTTGCACAGTCTGTAGTCTTCGAGATCTCTTTTGGGGTACCTGAGATTACTTTGAAATTGGCACCAGGCATGACGAAGCCGTTGCTGTACATGCTTCCGGTGTAGTGACGATGGTTGTCACAGTGACAAAGGGCCTTCAAAATGGTCACAGTCAGTATTTGTTCCAAGCCCCACCGTCCCTATTGGGCTGGTAGACCCAATCTGTCCTTCTCGTGGCCGTGGCCGAGGAAATGGATGATATACTCTTCAGAATTTACGGCCCACACGCACTCGCCGGTATATCCGATCCTGATCGTCCCGCAATAGGAGCGTCCGGTCGGCATATTCCAGGGTGTTGACGGTCCAAACGGCAACGCTTTGGGAAACACAATTTTTGGATTGCGAAGATGAAAGAATACACAAGAGGACTCGAGGGAGGTGAATGTGGTGGAATCGAACATGACCTGGATCTTTCGTTCGGCGATTGATGTTTCAGACAATGCGCGAATGAAAATCCTGCATATATGCTGCCTACCTACCCACGCACGCATCATCTGTGGTATTTATGCTACCACTTAGACCTGCCTAAGAAACCGACTCGCGCTCTAAGGCATATGCCAGGACAGAGCACGCTGCGACTGTGATGTGACCAGCAAAGCTCTAACCCAGCAAGGTGTTTGATTTCAAGGGCGAAAGACGCCATATTAACTAACACTAACCAGATACGGCATTAGATTTAATAAAACTATAAATACTTGTTAAAATGGTCAGGCTGCTTGCTGGGTTTGTGGTGTTTTGTACGGAACGTAAGGGGGGCTAGCGGGTAAGAGGAAAGTAATAAGTAACTCACATCATTATACATCGCTTGCAAACATGACGGCGAGGCGACGTGCGGCCGATGACAGCAGAGCCCAGTTGCCTCCCACCGCACCACCGTGTACGGAGTAAGAGTACAGAGGATGGGGTATGACTTCATGCGACAAGGGCACAAATGCCTTCAAAGAGCTTAGTATTTCCATGCCCACCTCCAAGCTGCAAGCAAGCGGACTTCCTAGTATGTATTTCAGCGATGACCTTCTGGTGGAGGCACGCCGTCCTCTGGCCCCGTCCTCAGGATCCGCCTCGCCTGTTCCTCTCCCACGGGAGCATCATCGGTGCTGTCTTTCCGAAACCCGAGTTTCCCAAACGCACTCGATAATGTGCCAGTCAAGCTGCGCTGGGCCTTGCGCTCGCGTGCTTCTCGTTCCTGAGTCTCCCGTTGCTGTTCTAGGTATAGCCTCTCCTTCTCGGCGCTTTGCGATTTGTCCCGCTTCGCCTCTTCCTCCATTTTGACCTTCTCCGGGTTGAGTAGCTTGTCCTTCTCGTGCGTGACGGTTTCACCGGCTGCCTTGATGTGCTTGCGTGTTTTGGTGTAGCTCTCCAGACCAACCAATACCGCATAGCTTCGAGAGATCGACACGTGGGACATGTCGACGCCTTCATCACGTAGGCTACGCACAAAGGCTCGAAAATTCGCTGCTGGTGGCCGATAGTGTCCGCTTAGAGGTGATAGCCTTCTTAATTGGCCATGCTTGACTTTGATCAACCCTGCTGCCAGGATGCGTGCACCGTGCAAGAACGACGAGTGTTGAAATGCCCCTGATTGTTTGTACCCAATGTACAGTCGAAACGAGGTATCGCATACAAATATCCACTTGTGTCCTTTTTTTAGGCTTGTTCTGATCATGTGGTTGAACAGAACTGCGGCGCTGACATACTTGACCTTGGACAGCTCTCTGGCTCTATGGAACTGGTTCTGATCAGTGACCTTCACCGGGCAGTATTGTGGACGGCAGCACGTACTTCTTCATTGACATACCTCTCCCCTTCGTCGCGTACCGTGTTTGCATCCTCATTTTCTGATTCATCCGAGGAACTGGTGTCGGGGTCACTCTCGCCCTGCGGTCGCACGTTGTATTTCCATTTTGGTGCCGAGTTATCTATGGGGACGATTCCGTTGACGCTGTCCTTGAAAAGCTCATCCTTGGTCCAGACAAACTCACCATTCTTAGCCCAGATCAATAAGCCATTTTCGTTGACCTTGACCAGATAGTTCAGACGTTCTTCTCGTGACAAGTATCGGACTTGCTCTTTGTCTAGGCGGGTTCGACTGCATTCTGGGAGGTCCACGTTCTTCCCGTCACCTTGATCAAGCCAATAAAAGAAGTTCTGATCGGTATCTTGTGTTTTCCAATAATTGTGGTATCTGATCAACCGTCATGAGCTTCTGTCGAAAGGTGCTGGGCTCTTCCGAACGAATCTTTCTTTCGGAGATGATCCATCTGTTCGAGCCCCAAGGGGCACTCACTTGCGTAGGTTACTCCCATAACGGTGTTTTTGGTCAACCATCTCGAGAAAGTATTGCAGATCCATCATCTTTCCGGCCTTCTTTCTCACGGCGTTGGCTTCGGCTCTTTTCCTTCGTGCCTCTTCCCTCTCTTCTTGAGTCGGGCCGCTGGACGAGCCCTCAGCATCCTCAGCATCGTCATCTGAGGAAAAGTCGGAGATTGAAGGGGAACGGTCGTCGGCGCCAGCCCGGCGAGCAACCTCGGTCGCGCGACTCCATTTCAGCCTGGCAGGGGATGTCGTCGTCTCATTCGCATTTGCGTGATCATGGGGAGCGATAGGAGGTCTGGGTAATGTATGTTCTTTGAATTGGGCATCTCGCACCGCCTGTTATGATTGTTTCAGTGAAGACCGCAGCACAAATGTTGTCTCACACCCGACCTCGTACCACCGTGTCGAAGCATCTAAGCCGAATCCATTTAGCTGGTGACGCGTGCGATGTCCTCGGTAAGTTTTCTGGGTCTGGTCAATCGTTGGCAGATGGGACAAGGGATCGCCGGTTCCGGACCTGAATTAAGACAGCCGCCTTTTTATACTCTTCTGCACTGAGGTCTGTCTTGGCCGGCTTTGACGACTCTGGGGAGCCTCCTCTCGGTCCGGCCTCCATGAGAGGAGATGCACATGTCAAGAGGGCTGGCGGTCGCTGAATTGTCGCATGTGACAAGATCGGAGATTCACCGTGGATTCGGTAGTATTTTGAGCCATGCGGCGGAAACAGTGCGTCACTGCAAGGCTGAAGCTTGGGGCGACGAGGCTGACAACGAACATCAGTTACCCCGCGCGTTCATTGAGGACAGCAATCTCGAATCCTCATCTTTGTCATCCTACATATGCCGTTCAACTACATGGCCTTTCTTAAAGTTGCCATCTCTTCTATCTATTATGCCGTGTATACAGCTGAGCTATCTCCATGTATGCCTTATAGCCACGTGAGACTGGTGAGGTAGGGTGGTTAGCACCTACTTGGCAGCTCTGATGGATTTTCTTTTTCCGCCAGTTACACAAACCTCGTGTCATCTATATCCTCTGGTATGAGCAATGGAGGGAACCGCATGCGGAGTGAAGAAGTCGTGCTTCTCTTCTGTTCCACCGGAACTCTCAAGACGCGTGGCCGGCAAGTGAACGCCGATGAGGGGAAAGACCGGGATATGCAAGCATGTTGGGGTAAGAATACTAATGTCTATACGGCAAATGACGGCAACGTCTTTGTTTGAATGCCATCCTTGACAAACAGCCCTGGATATACTTTCGTGCGTTATTGGAGATTTCCAACCCAGCTCCTTTTAGCAAGTGAGGTTGGAGTTGTGCCATGGCTGCGACACCAATCCCAAACGTGCTAGTGACTGGAGGGACAGGCAAGCAACTCAACTGCCAGTAACAGCCACTCTGGGGGCTTGCTAAGTGCCAAGGCAGGGTTTATTGGAGCCCACGTGGTTGACAACCTTCTGGCACGCGGGCTGAGAGTACGTGTTGCTGTTCGGAATCTCGCGAAAGGGAATGCCCTGCGCGATGCAAGACCACACTATGCCTCCAGGCTCGACTGTGTCCTGATCGCCGACTTTGCAGAAGCCACTTCTTTGGAAGAAGCTGTAGCGGGTGTCGATGGCATCGTCCATGTTGCCAGTCCATTGACCTATAGCGTCCAAGACACCGAGAAAGATATCATCTTACCTGCTATAAATGGAGTGAAATCGGTGTTGAAAGCAGCGGCCAACACCCCGCAAATCCGACGAGTTGTCATCACATCTTCGTTTGCATCCGTCATTGATGTCAACAGAAAGGCACCGCCACATTTTACCTACACTGCAGCAGACTGGAATCCTCTGACATACGAAGAAGCGGCAGACAACAAAACATCCGGCGTGGTTGCTTATCGGGGCTCCAAAAAGTTTGCAGAGCTTGCGGCCTGGGAGTTCATGGAAAAGGAGAAACCTACCTTTGACCTTGTAACGCTCTGTCCGCCGTGAGTCTTATCCTCCTTGTCGCCGCCGGCATGTAGAATTTACTGACCATGCGACTGGCAGAATGGTGTTTGGGCCATTTGTCCACCCAGTGGCCAGACTCGAAGACTTGAACGACAGTGCGGCCAAAGTGTGGGAGGTGGCTTCTGGCGCCGATCCAATGCCCGTTGCTCGAGTGCCTTTTTGGGTTGATGTCAGGGATCTTGCTCAGGCACATGTCGAAGCCCTGTTGAGGCCACAAGTAGGTAACCGCCGTTTCACTGTGGCCTCGCCAGAACGATTCTCCTACCAGAAGGCGGCCGAGATTGTCGCCAGAGAGTTTGATTGGGGCAAGTCCAGGGTCTGTCAGTCTAACGCAAAGCAAGAGATCGACGAGTCGTATGATCTCGATGGGGCAACGGCAGCAAGGGAGTTGGGCATCGCATATAGATCTTTTCAACAATCTGTGGTTGATTTTGTCACCCAAGCTGTCGGCTTGGAGGCATCTCAAAAGGGTGGATAGCGTCCTGGTATATAGGTACTCCGTGAAAGTGACTACATGGAAGGTAGAGGCTGACAGAGATGGAGGGAGGTCGTGGGTGATTGGGTCGGAGTCTATTCAGTGCGACTACTCGGTAGGCACATACATCAAAGATGATCGCATGTGCCCATACAGCATAATAACACCCATCCTCGTGTCCTAGATAGGGCAAGTGAGTTGGAGGTGAACTCAAAGTGAAAGTGAAGTGAAGGTGAAGTGAAAGTGAACAGAAAGTGGAGTTTGACTCGAAATGGGCGAGTCAAAGTCAAGCAAGCAGGAGCCGCTCCAGCCGGAGAATGATGGCCGACGTAACCAAGAGCGAGTCAGACGCGAGTCAGTCTCTCCTGACTCCCCTGACTCTTTTCTCTTGCCCGATGTATCCGCGTGCGGCCTGCTTCCCTCCCCCTCTCTACGAAGGACCTTGTACCTCTCTGCTCCCCTCCTCGTGGGCGCTCGCTCCCTCTTGAACAATCTCCTCGTCCCCGCCACCGAGTCACAACATCCCACTCACCTGACCTTGGACCCTCCCCAGCCCTTCGCAAGCCCCATGGAATTCGTTTCCCTTGCCGCTGTCTCAGTGGCCACCGTGTCAGCCCAGCTCCATCCTGCAAACCTTCGAGAGAGCTAGCGTCTGTCTCGAGAACAGCTCTCGGGACTGCTGCAGCACGCTAGCGCTTCTCGAGAACCGCCCTTGTGGCCTTGCCTTCTACCTCCTTCTCTCCTCAGTCCTCGTGCTCTTCCACAACCACCCCCCCGGGGCACAAAGCCTACTCCGGTTTCTCCACAATTCCCCCGTCAGAGAAAATTTTTCTATTGGGCAACCAGACTGGTTCTGAGGCTCGTCTAAGGCCTCCCCCTGGCGTCGTGATTGTCTCGAGTTTCTTGTCGATGTGGCCGACTCGGTAAGCGTGATCAATGGCAGCTCGAGAGCCAAGAGAGCACAACAGCTTGAATAGCCGAGTATGCATATTCCACCGGCACAAAGCCGCCCAGCCATGTACCTCTCTTGAAACGGTCCCGGCCAGGATAAATCGGCACGGATGAAGAGCGGACCTTGGTCATTAAACGGAACATTCCCTAGCTTCACCCTCGCCCACGCTACATTGACACTTCCAACCTATTTCGTCCAGCCTGGCCTCCTTTGCGAGTGGGGAAATTCCTTGTCTCTGCTCCACGTGTGGACTAGTGAAGGATTGTGCTCAGCAGTCTGGATCCCCTAGCCTATGAGACGGAGATGCGGAAAATCTTCTCACCAGCTGCAGCCTCCCACCGCCGCTGGTCAAAGCCACCGTTCGCTCTTCGCTCTTCGTGTGCGCGATGGGGGGCAAGGGGCTAGTATGGCGATTAGTCTACCAGTTACCCCAAGGTCTCAACCGCCCCCGGTCAAGATCGCTTGCATGTCCAATCGCTGATCGTCATTCAGCTACTTCCGTCGAACCGGGGTAGTCCGGGGTATTGGGTGAGGACATGGCTTTGAGGGTTCAGTTGACTCGGTCTTGCTCAGTTTGGTTTGCCCCATAATTGGACCCCAGCTGGTGGACCTAGGGTCATGTCGGATCCGTTGACATTTTCCCCATATCAGTTCCCAAGACCCTCGCGTGAATTCGTTGCCCCTCGATATCTTCTCACGCTCTTTAACTCTTCTCTTTGTGCCCCGTGAATCGCTGAAGGGTTCTTTACGACTTTCTCAACTGAACCGGTCTCAAGACCTCTGTGTTCTCTTCTGCAAACCTCACCTCGACTGTCCATACTCACCATGGCGACAACTACCCATACCCAGCCCAAGAGGAAGTCAACGGCGGCTGGGCTTCCCGCCGGTGGTAGGACGGTCAAGCGGAGGGCTTCCAAAGCCTGCCACTGTTGCCGTGGCAGGAAAGTGCGTTGTGACGTGGTCGAGAGTGGAATTCCATGCACGAATTGTCGACTGGATGAGGTCGAGTGCGTAGTCACCGAAGGAAAACGACGGAGAAAGTCCTATGCTGAGGGAGAGCTGTTCCATCACTCGCCCTGCAATTCTATAGAAGAGGAGAAGGAAATTCCACAGTTTCCCATCTTTGACGACATTGATGAACTAAACAATTTTGTCCCTACATTGCCCACCGCTGAACCAAGCCATCCCCAGCACGCCCTGGAGGACGAGATGGTCCATCACAAGCCGCATATGCTCTGTAAGTCCTGTTCGTGGCTGTGGTCTGGAAGCTCATGCTAACGGACATGCCTCTAGACCAGACACAAGGTCACCGCTTGAGCCAGGAGGAGCGTTTTCGACGAATGTCAACAATCGGCAGCAACCAAATTTCTCCACCCATCCTTTCCCCGGCCATGTCCTATTTCCTCCAGCATTCCGGCCGGTTGAACATCGTCCTCCCCCCGTATTTGCAGCCAATCTCTCCTAGGATCATGACGGAAGATCTGGAGTATCTGCAGAAAAAGGGGGCGTTTTTGATCCCGGAGACAGGCTTCCGTAACGAGTTGCTCCGGTGCTACGTCCAATACGTTCACCCTTTCCTCCCCATCATCGACCTGCGCGACTTCTTGACTACTGTCGAAAAGAACCAGCCCACCAACACAGTGAGCCTCTTACTCTTCCAGGCCATTATGTTTGCGGCAACTGCGTACATAGACATGCGATATCTCATTGCTCAAGGATACATGACCCGGAAAGCAGCCAGGAAGTCCTTTTTCCAGCGAGTCAAGCTACTGTATGATTTTGACTACGAAGTTGATCGGGTTACGGTCGTGCAGGCAGTCTTGCTGATGACATACTGGTATGAGAATCCTGACGACCCAAAGGATGTCTGGCATTGGCTGGGCGTGGCCATCTCGGTTGCCCGAACTATTGGCCTAAACTGTGACACTTCAAATGCTTCACTCATGAGCTTGCAACAACGCCGTCTCTGGAAGCGCATCTGGTGGTCTTGCTACATGCGAGACCGCTTGATCGCCATTGGGATGCGGCGTCCGATGCGCATAAACAGCGGAGATTTTGACGTGCCAATGCTGGAGGTATCCGATTTTGAAACCGAGGCTCTTCCGGCCGAACTCAGTAGGGTGCTTGGAGGTTGTCCGGCGGTGAGAGACACTTCGAAGCGCGTCACTCTGGCCAAGATGTGTATCGGTCTGGCCGATCTCTGCGTCCGCATCACCCAAGTTCTCGCGGTCCAGTACTCCACGCTCGGCCACAAGATTGGCGCCACTCAAGAGACAACCATGAGGCTGGTTCCCAAGAAGTCAGCAGCCGACCCGTGCGATGTGATTCGGTGTGATCGCGCACTGGATCAGTGGCACAAAGACCTCCCGCATGAGCTCCACTACTTTGCCCCGGATTCCCGGGAGCGGACAAGCACCAACGACGGAGAGGTGATCAATTTGCACCGAGCTCTGCTGACTGGAATCTACCTTACAGCGATCAGTGCTTTACATCGCCCGCAAATCCTACCATCGGCTCCCAATGTTGTTGTTGCCCCGGAGCTTCGAGAATTGTCGAGAAGGAAGGTTCGCGAGGCTGCCAATGATATTACCGAGATGTACAAGGAACTCTTTGCGCATGATTTGATACGCTACCTCCCGAATACCGGGGTGACATGCCTGCTTCCCGCCATCATCATTCATCTCCTAGATATCAAATCGAGCGACTCGAACACGCGACAAACCAGCATTCGGAAATTTCAATTCTGCATGCAGGCCCTGCAGAGACTGCGAGAAATGTATGCCTCGGCGGATTTTGCTTTCTCGTTCCTCGACGCCGCTGTTCGCAAGACCAATGCTCAGGTCTATGCTGCTGCCGCGGCCACGTCTGGGATGAAGGCGCCATACTCGCCCAGCGTGTCTGGGATGGAGCAGAAGAAGTTCCATCCCGGACCGTTGTTGCTCACTCCCCCGCCCGAAGCCATGCAGACGGCAAGTTTACTGCTCATGAACTCGACGCTGGCGCCGGAAGAGCGAAATCTCATTGCTGCGTACACACCACCCGAGTCGGAGATGAGCCTGAATTCCCAGACAACGGAAGAAACGCTAGTTGTATCGGCAGGAGTCGATGTCAAGCACAACCCAGGAATCGGTGGTGCAGGGGAGGAGCCCACACACACAGATTTTGAGACTCTTGTTGATTTAGAAGGAGGGACTGATTTGTTTTCAACCGTTGAAGACGGCCTAGATTTGAACATGCAGTGGCTTCAGGGCTTTGATGCGGATAACCACACTCCCAACTCTGGAGAATTTCCCTTGGAGACGATTGAAGAAGTGGATGAGCAGCGAGAGCAATGCGGTTATGCAGAACAGGAACTGGATGCCACTGACGAGCTGGTCCTGGGTTTGGCCATCCAAGGAGATGCCTGAGATTTGAAATGAACTAGAAATGACATATGTATTAAGATCTGACTCGGTGTCTTTGTCTTGGTAAATTCAAGCCTAGTCACGCATGGAATGCGTTTAAGGAGAATATATGGGCGAGGCTAGACATTGGTGATTGCTGTCATGTTGGCAGAGGCCGAAGATGTGCGGAAGTGGCTTGCAGATCCGCAGCTTCGCTGGTGGCGGACCAAGTTTCTTCCGTATCTCCCCTGTTTCTTCTTCCATCCTTCATACCACTCTTCTCGTTCAAAGAAGGACGCATTGTCAAGTGGCCTTGCCAACATATACCTACTTGTAGGCCCATGGGGTCTTTTGCTCCCTCCCCGCGGAACGCCGCAGAGCAGTGAACGCCGCAGAGCAGTCCTTCTGGCCCTCCTTGACCCCACCTCGCGCTCACAGGATTCAACCACGCCAGTTGATCGGCGGTGGCCTGGTCAACCCTGTCAACGACTCCCCTGCAATGTCACATCGAAATCATGACCAGTGGCAAGAGCGATAAGGAAACTCGCCTGGCACAATCCTGCGGACTCGGCCTCTTCCGCCAACAGCCGACCCATCGCCCGGACAAACGCTCAAATCACACAGAAACAGGCTCGTGCCTTGAACGGACGGCCGCTGCAGGCGCACAC